GTTTCATTTTGAACCACGTGCAGGTGTATTTGAAAGTCCTCTACATTCTTAGTGGTAGTATGTAAGTTGATTTTTTAATTTTTTTTTAATGCTTATTTATTTTTGAGAGCTAGAGAGAGGGTCAGAGCACGAGTGGGTGTAGGACAGAGAGAGCGAGAGACACAGAATCCAAAGCAGGCTCCAGGTTCTGAGCTGTCAGCACAGAGCCCGAAGTGGGGCTCGAACCCACAAACCGTGAGATCACGACCTGAGCCGAAGTCGGAGGCTTAACCGACTGAGCCACCCTGTCTTTAAGTTGATTGTAATGAGACCAACCAATTCCTTTCTAAAGATCTCTTCTGATGGATGTGAGTTTTTATGTTTTTTTTTTCCAGTGTCGAGATTAAAGGGTTTAGTATAAAGCTCAAGAGTAAATATCCTTAATAGGATGGAGACAAAGGAACCGTAATTACATCTTATTGAAAACATTCTGTAAGTGGGGAGGAGATGAGAACAAATCTTACCTTTTAGAATCCGCTAAATTTATTTCAACTTTACACTGTGTTTACTTGACATTTGAGCCACAATAGCGGCGGGATCCTTTTTCATTAGAACTATCCTGGGAAATTCTTTCATGATCTGCCCAGATGTGGCTTATCTCACCATCTGTCACCACTGCAGAAAATTTAGCGTTGAATTCAAACACTCTTTTGTGCATAATCTTTTGATGTCAAGCAGGATGCTCAGAAAGATAAGAACAGACAACAGGAGTAAGTACTAATCCAGGGTTCACCACTGCCTGGCACTGTTCTAGGTCCTAACGGGTCCCTGTTCTTTTCAGTATTTACAGCCTAAAGGGGAAACAGACAAACATTTCAAAATTATATGCCATTTGACAAGCGTTGTAACGAGACATGGTGGGGGTGCTATTGGAACACACAAGAAGAGTGTCTGTCCCACTTCTTGGGTTAGGGTATTGGTGGAAATATGGGGAGTGGTAGAGTGTTGAGGTGTGTTTGTGTGTGCATGAGGCATTGGAGATATGTTGGTGGAGGGAGGGGAGCGGAGGGGTGCAAGAGGTGATTTATAAAGAGACCCAAATGATAGAGTGGGTATTATGCAGGAGGAAGGGTGTGCCTAAAAGAAGACACATTATGTGCCAGGATCCGAGGGGAAAAGGGAATAGGTGTGTAATTTAGTGTGTCAGATAAATGGTTCTCAAACTTTAATTTAAAGGGCATATGAATCACCCAAGTTTAATGTTAAAATGCAGATTCTGATTCAGTAGTTCTAGGGAGGGACCTGCATTCCTGGGTATCTTAATAAGCTCCTAAGTGACATCAGACCTGCTGGTTCACAGACCAAACTTTGAGTAGTGACAAAGTTGATTTCCAGTAACCGGACACTTCTCTCTCTCTGGAGAAATAACCGAATATTCCCTTAGCCATTTTCACTCCTGACGATGACCTACTTAGTCACACTGCATGAACCCTTAATGATGGCAATGTGGTGGCGACTCAGCATCTCATTCATATATGACATCTGTACGGGAGCCGACTTCTCTTCCCATAATATTTTTAAAATCACTGCTTCCGATTCTGCTTTTATACCTTCTTATCCACCTTGATCTACCTCCTCGTGGAAACACATTTAGCAGTTTCAGCATGAGACCAGCCTGAAAGGATGTGCTTAATAAATATTATCAATGTTTGTCAAAATCAAAGAAAATGTCCCAGGGAAGACCTTGCAGCCTTCCCCATTAGCAGCAACATATAAGGCTGTCCTGTATCTCGACAGCCATTCTTTTAACGTCAACTTGAATTCACTTTAATAAGGGCATGAGTTTCGTGTGTCTGTCTCTGCCTCATCCTGTAGCAGCCAATGTTCTGTGGCTCTCGAGACCAGGGACAATATCTTTGAAAATACTCTCAAATTTCTTGGGGCGCCTGGGTGGCACAGTCGGTTAAGCGTCCGACTTCAGCCAGGTCACGATCTCGCGGTCCGTGAGTTCGAGCCCCGCGTCGGGCTCTGGGCTAAATGCTCAGAGCCCGGAGCCTGTTTCCGATTCTGTGTCTCCCTCTCTCTCTGCCCCTTCCCCGTTCATGCTCTGTCTCTCTCTGTCCCAAAAAATAAATAAAAAACGTTGAAAAACAATTTTGAAAATACTCTCAAATTTCCATCGCCATCCCAAAGGCATGGAAGCAGATTGGGCTGCGTGGTAACGTCACTTACTGGGAATTCACACCCGTGTCACATGCTTGAAACGAGAAGCCTCTCTACATGTAGTTTTGTATGTTAGGCATCATCAAATTGATTTGGAATGCGTTTCTGGGTGCTAGAAAATGCATTCGGTTTAACTCGTGAAACTGTGTCCCACTCATCAGGGAATGCATAGATTTTACTCCCACTAATGGGAGTCTACTGCCCTGTTTAATTCTCAAAATAACAAACAAACACATGCACACACATATATATTTAAAATACGTTTCTTTATTTGTGTTATACAGACTTCACATTGGGACAAATGGAGTGAACCTCACAGGCAACCAACACTTTCAAAAATCCTTCCGTGCCTTCATTTCCAACTGGGATCTCATGTAATCTTAAAGGCAGATGGGCTTTCTTACCAAGATATATGTGGGTAGATTTGTCATTGTCTCTCCTTCCACTAGACTAACTCAGCAGTTCTTAAACTTTTTTATGCATAAAAATTAGTATGCGCCTTGCCAGGGACACCTGGGTGGCTCAGTGGGCTAAGCGTCCAACTTCGGCTCAGGTCATGATCTTGTGGTCTGTGGGTTCGAGCCCTGTGTCAGGCTCTGTGCTGACAGCTCAGAGCATGAAGCCTGCTTCAGATTCTGTGTGTGTGTGTGTGTGTGTGTGTGTGTGTGTGTGTGTCTGCCCCTCCCCCACTCATGCTCTGTCTCTGCCTCTGTCTCTCTCTCTCAAAAATAAATAAACATATTTTTTTTAAAAAAAAATTACTATTCACCTTTCTACTTGCAGGCAGATACAACATGCTTTATGCAGAAACAAGAAATTTCCTTGCGTGATCTTTTACTTTTTCCTATTAATCCTTATTTTTGGACCTAACTCTCCATAAGTTTGATGTCATCCCCCTCTAGAGCAATCAGAGATTGTTGAAACCCTTTTTCTACCCTGTTTTGTATTCAATCTGTGTCATCCTTACTTCTCAGACTGTTTCCTCCATACTCCTAGGCTGTTAACCCTGTAAAGAGAAATGGCAGATGTCCTAACATTGGAAAATGTGATTTCCTTGACTCATGAGCTGTTGCAGATCAAAATTAGCTTGGTCCACGGGCTTACCTTCCACATGTAAGTGGTTTTGGAACCTAAAAATGATAAACTTTTGGCACTCGGGTAATTCCTATGGCCAGGAAAGCATTCAGAGGGAGATCTGCAGCTAACTTTGAGGTACAGTCACCCTTAAGTGACAGCCAAAAAGTTATAGGTCCCCATTCTGAGAAACCTGTAAAACTAGGGCTGAAAGCTTGGGCTCTCCATATCTTACAAGTGATTTCCAGAGCTGGAAAGCACTGGAGATTTCACTCCCAATGTTCATTTGTAAGTGAAGGGACAGACCCAGATATGCTAAGCAGCAGAGTCCCTAAGGATCTAGAGCCTAGTACCATACTCCTTTCTTCCTTCCATTGCCTTTTCCCAGTGAAGCAAAGATAATATGAGTGCTATCCTTTCATTTAAATGATGTTCATTCTAGTCCTCAAGATGGCAACTATAAAACAGATTTTACTTGAATTATTCTGTGTAAGTTTTACCTAAACCTGTGATCCATTGTGTACATCATCAACAGTCATTAAAAAAAAGCCATTCATAGTAATTTAGTGGAAATGCTAACAGACTATACTTATGTATTTTTGACTTATGTTTAATTGCAATGTAATGAAAATTGACTAACTTAGCACTTAAAACATGAGGATTATATATTAGTTAGAAATGCATTGTTTAACTGATCTTCTATTTGGTGTTTCTTTTAAGAGAAATTTTTTAAATGTTGACCTGATAATTGCATAAATAATTATTAGATCATATTCCAAAAAAATGTTTATGATGAAATGTACATATTCTATGTGGTCAAGGACAACAAAAATAAAATGCATACACTTCAGATATCCATACATTTTTTTAAATCCCAAATTTTCATATTTTAGAAATGCTTAAGATCCAGAGGACTTCTTGTATTTAAATTAGGTTGAATCCAAAATCTTCCAGAGTATCATGAAAACCAAGATTGGTAATAATTTCAACCAGACATAAGGGGAAGGAAGAGAAGTCTAGAACTTTGGAGGCAAAGAAGTTAAGATAATGCCCCAAACCCCAGAGATACAAAGAGATGAGGTGCATTTTCTTTTTTTTTTTTTAATGTTTATTTATTTTTGAAAGAGAGAAAGAGAAAGTGTGAACAGGGGAGGGGCGGAGAGAGAGGGAGACACAGAATCCGAAGCAGGCTCCAGGCCCCGAGCTGTCAGCACAGAGCCCAACGCGGGGCTCGAACTCACAGACTATGAGATCATGACCCGAGTTGAAGTCGGACGCTTCACTGACAGAGCCACCCAGGTGCCCCATGATGTGCATTTTCTAAAGCCCACTTTCTTTGCATGGTCCTGCCCTGCCTCCTGATTGAAATTATAAACTTTGAATTCTGGGCAGAAATAACGTGGCATTTCAAAAGCATTATCTGGGGTCTAAAAACTGCTTGCTCAAGAAAAACTAACGGTGCTAGAAGTCAGGCGGATGCACTGTGTCCATCTGGGCGCTGGGAGTCACTGGATTGCAGGTTCCTGTTCCCAAGGGAATAGTTCGCAGCGGCTCCAACTGCGGGAGGGAAGCCAGCAAAGCAGTGTCGGGGGTCAGCAGGATTGGCAGTGCTGAGCGCCGCCCGAAAGATGATTGTTGTTAAACCACGTTGTGTGTCTTCTGTTCTGAGTATGGAGGAGACTCACTGGAATGTGTTCTCTTTTGTGTTTTGGGGGCACAAACAGCAACTTGGAGTCCCCACTGATGTACGAGGTCTGCGCACCGCAGCAGGGGAGCACCAGCGGCGGCTGGAGAGGCGGCCTGGGGAGCTCCATCACAGCGTGTAAGAAGGTAACCTTGCCTAGCGCGGCTCTGTCTCTCGGATTGAACTTGAACGCGAGTGTAGTTTGACTCTCCAGGTACTTCTTCTAAAGCAGAGCAAAACAGCAAAAACGAGCAACGGAATGGCCCACAGTTTGCTTGCCCGGATAACCTCTAATGCTGCTAAAAATGTAATGGGTGAAGAAGACCAGAAAACTCAAACAGTTCAGAAAAGTACGACTCGAAAATTCTAAGCCCGCAGTGCCCCACTTATTATATGGAGCACCTAAGTCTGTATCTGAGAAGCATTCCTGGCTGCTGTTTTCTCAAAGAGAAAGAAGGGTGTGCTTGGCTTATGTTATGAGGAGAAACAGAAATGCATTTCCTAGAATACAGACTCCAGAACTCATAAACGAATCTCGCTTTAAGCGCATTTGCTGAAAGCTGCCATTTGAATAACATAAATTCATCTACTTCATTTTCCAGCCAATCCAACTTAAGGCCTGGAAACTTAAAGCGAAATGCCCAATTTCCCACCTCAAGCTTTTGTCACTATGTGATGCAGAGTTCCAAAGGAGAATGTATGTGTTTCTTCTCATCCAGACTTAGAGGGTGTCACACTGGATTACTTCAGTAATTGTTTTTTTAAAAACTTAAATTATTGGGGCATCTGGTGGCTCAATCATTTGTGTCTGACTCTTGATTTCAGCTCAGGTCACGATCTCAGGGGCCGAGATCAAGCCCCACATCAGGGTCAGTGCTGGTAGTGGAGCCTGCTTAAGATTCTCTCTGTCCCTCTCTCTCTGCCCCACCATTGCTCATTCTGTCTCTCTCTCTCTCAAAAAAAAGTTAAATTGTAAAAAATACTTATAGGAATAATTCAAGACAAATTCTATTACTAAACATATTGTATAGATATATATTATTTATGCACACATACTCTACATTATGTATGCATATATGTATATTAATTTATTGATTACTATAACCTGTTAAGCAGCCTTATTTATTCTCTGCTTGTGTGGTGTTTGTATTGTTCTAAGTAACAAAGAAAATGACACATATCTGTGTTAGAGAACATAAGTTGATGATAGAAAAGTAGCATTAAACATAATTTTACAAAAGTATTTTCACGCATACATTCATAACCAGATATAAAAATAAACTGGTCTCATTAGTTCAAGGCTCTAATTACCATGTGTTATATGATCTATTATTCTTTCTCATACAATTCTCATAGAAGAGTCAGTGCCATAAATTTCCATTTTAATGCAGAAAACTGAGACACTATAATTCAAAATGATTTTGAGTTTCTTCTAAGAGAGGTCTTCAAGCCCTGGGTATGTTCTATTCAACTCTGTAACTCCAAATTATAATCCTCACCAGATGCTATACATTTCACAAGGCTAAATCATTTTTCATTTATTCTCATTTTTTTTTAATTTTTTTTAACGTTTATTTATTTTTGAGAGAGAGACAGAGCATGAACAGGGGAGGGGCAGAGAGAGAGGGAGACACAGAATCTGAAACAGGCTCCAGGCTCTGAGCTGTCAGCACAGAGCCTGACGCGGGGCTCGAACTCACGGACCGTGAGATCATGACCTGAGCCAAAGTCGGACGCTTAACCGACCAAGCCACCCGGGCGCCCCTTATTCTCATTCTTAAATAACTCTATTTCTATTGATTAGAGCCCACATGGTATTTAAATTAAGGATTGAAAGAAGACTGCCTGAATTTGACACCCAGTTCAGTCATTACTAGTTGTGTTATCATGAGCAAATTACCTGACCTCTTCATGCCTCAATTTGCTCATCAGAAAAAAGAAGGTGACAGCTGAGCCCAAGTGAATTAATAGACATGAAATGCTTAGAACGGTGTCTGGCATATGGTAAGCACTCAAAATAAAGAGTGTTTATGAGTAATATTATCCTACAGGAAATTTTTCAGTAAGTATGTGATGCCAGAAAAAAATTTTATATATACATGACCATGCTGAGAGAGTTGGTACCTTGTGATCTGTTATGTCAGCTACGTTTGTTTTCTGGAGATAGAGGCGGTCGTATTCATTTTTTATAAATCGTGTCTGGAAGGTACTAAATAGAGCGTTTTGGAGCTGAATATCTGTTCAAGAAATTAAAACCCAAACTCAATCATTTATTATATATTTATATGTATACATGTAATATAAATGTATATATACAAATAGAATTTAAAGGTTTTTTTAAATGTTTATTTTTGAGAGGGAAAGAGGTTGCAAGCAGTGGGGAGACAGAGAGAGAGAGAGAGACAGAGAGACAGAGAGAGAGAATCCCAAGCAGGCTCCACACTGTCAGCACAAAGCCTGACACAAGGCTCGATCTCACACCTGTGAGATCATGACCTGAGCCAAAATCAAGAGTTGGATGCTTAACCGACTGAGCCACCCAAGTGCCCCAAGAATTTAAAGTTTTAAATATAATCCTACTCACACCACCCCCACTTCTAGAACTATTAGTAAGTTGAACCGTACGAAATTTCCTTTATTACAGATGAAAAATGATCAATTATAGGCAATTTCATATGGTCCAGTGTAAATACATTCAAAATTCCATTAGATCTTAGGGAGAGATACAAGAATAGATATATAGTCAGGATCTAGTGTGGGAGACAATATCGGTTTCTCAGTTGAAAAAATCAAACTAAGTAATTCACCAGTTAAATAGTTATGTAGGATGTCTACACAGTTTATAGCAAAAAGCAGAGAGAGAGACCTTTGACCTGCAGCAGACCATCACCTCCAGAAAGCGAATCGGATCTTAGTTTAGACTTTGAAATACGGCTGAGATTTGAATGAGCGCAGAGAAGAGCCAAGCAAATTTATTTAGGAAGGGTTGCTACAAATGAATGCAGGAGAAGTCAACCCCTCTGCATCCCGGAATATATTTTTCTAATGTTGTGGTCCATTCCTTTCATTTTAAGTACTCTCTTCCATTTACACAATAATTGCATTTAAAGGCAGTTTAAGTAGCTGCGAATATGCCACATGGTATATGCCTTGTAGGCTCTAGTCGTTCCACTTCCCCCTCAAAGAGTAGCTCACTGTTGTTTTCTTTTTACATCTAGCACGTAGGCCCTCAATAAAAAGACATTGAATATTGAATGATTTCATGCCTTTATTGTATATCACTGCAAGCCGATTTAAGTGATCATTGATCAGTCTGGGGGAAAAAAGCTTGTTAATCACAGGCAATGGGTCTAGGTAAGTGAGACTATAGATGCACATATAATGTATGTTCAAAGAGACAGAAAATAGAAGCAGAGCTTTATCATAGAAATAGCAAGGCTGTCCAGCTGAATCACCACTGTTCAGTCAATCAACCTTCAATAAGAACACCATGGATCATTGAAATCTGTTGGTAATTCCCCAAACTGATTTTATGTGATAGCCTCATCTTCTTCCCCATCAGATCTTCTTATCAGAACTGACATATTGCTAAATTAACTGGTGGAAGACAGGAAACAAGGGTCCAGAAGATAATGCATTGGTTGGACAATCAGCTTCTGAAAACTTGCCAAAGGACTGAGTCTCTCTCCTGAGTGTCTCGTGAAATCCCTGAGGGTTGCAGGAATCCTGCCCACATGCAGATGCTGTCATTCCTCTTTGCTGTTGGGGAAATACAGTTACTGGAGGCCGCAGCTGTGGAAAAAGCCATAGCGTCAGAAAAGAAAATGACTTTTGTGGACTTATTTGAAGGAGGAAATCCTTAAGGGATTGCCTTGCACCAGAGCTAAGATGATCATACCGCCCAGTCATGGTTTACATGTGTTATCCTTGCATTAATGGACCCCGTTTTGTTCTCAGAAGTGCCCCGTGCGCAATAAGTTACATGGTTATCCCAGCTTGAGCTTCGGAATGATCCTTTCTCTTTCTTTTCCCCTTCCTCTAAATACTAGGAAAGGTATCAGATACATTCTCACCGAGGTATTAGTCATTGTGTAGGTTAATATAGTTGTAACAAATAAAATCTGTTTTTACTTAGCTACTGCTACAGCTAAACCAGTGTGATTGCCCCCGCCTTTAACTGGCCCTGGGAATCAAGCCTATTGAACCTGGACTTGACTTCAGAATTCTACCCATCTTGAAGCTCCAAGCAGACACTACCGATCCATCCAAGTTGGAATGTGAGATAGCCTCTGTGTCACCATAATTTACTGAGCTCCAAACGCTGGGAAAGTTTTAATGTATGCAGTGTGATACTCCAAAATAATGCATCGAAAATGATGGAATTTCGGGGCACCTGGGTGGCTCAGTCAGTTAAGCATCCAACTTCCACTCAGGTTCATGAGTTCAAGCCCCCACGTCAGGCTCTGTGCCGACAGCTCCGAGCCTGGAGCCTGCTTCAGATTCTGTGTCTCCTCTCTCTGTGCCCCTCCCTGGCTTGTTCTCTCTCTCTCTCTCTCTCTCTCTCTCTCTCTCTCTCAAAAATAGATGAATATTTAAAAAAATAAATAAAAGGATGGAATTTCAAAATATTGAAGGAACAAAATGGGAGAGAAAAAGTAGCTGGTGGTGTTATGCCCAGAATTCGTGATCCCCAAAGACCACTAGGGAGCCGAGTCCGATGCAAAAGCAAAAGAGCCTTTATTCGAGCTAGCTCGAGCTCAATCCCCTACCTGCACCGAGGCAGCAGTGAGATACCAGGGAGAGAGAGCGAGTTCCAAAAGGACAAAGGTTTTATTGGGGCCTGGGGGTAGTTGGTGAGGTAATGGCTATGGCCTCAGCCGATTGGCTGGGGAAGGGTCCTGGGGAAGGGTCCGAGTCCTGTTAGGCAGGTGAGGGGGGGTTACTCAAGGGGAGGAGGTGTAGTCAAGGTGAAGGACACGGAACAGGATGGAGTCCGCCGGCGTAGGCCCGCCCTTTCAGTGGAAAGTGAATAATAGAGCCCTCTGTAGTACCTCTTGAATCTTACCTCACATAGATCTTGCCTGATGTTCCCCGTTCTCATAGGACCAATCCTTCTTATAAGACAAATACAATCATCACTGTTAGA